AATAGCAGCGACGATTCGTCTTGTTGAAGTCGTCGGCGGCGAGGAATCAAGGAGCTCCCAAAGTGAAGACGAAGCCGGCGACTCATAAAGTTGATTCCATCGCACTCGTCGTCAGGAAACTCGGCGTTTACCCCTACCTGGCGCGCCAACTGTCGAAACATGAATTCGGCAATAATAAAAGGGGGTAGCGCACGAGACCTAAAAGTGGATGGATGCGGAGACAAAGGATTTAGACAGGTTCAGGCCCTCTCAATGAGAGGTAATACCCTACTCCTGTTTGGGGATTTGAATCCGCCGAGTGTGTATTGATCTGACGATCAGGTTGTGTCATGCCCCCTAGAGGGCCTCCTGCCCACCTTATATAGGGTGGGGGGCAGGATTACAAGATAGAAACCTTAACCAATACGGTATCGGTTTCCTAAATCTACTTTACAATATTATCAAACCAGGACTTTAGGCTGTTCCGTAATATATAAGGAAACGTAATACCCGAGTCATGATCTATTACATATTCCATAGATATAAGTTATCCCCTATGACTAGTCGGATAACCATGCCGTATGGGTATGGGGTACCCATAATATCCACACGGGCCATTCAACGTGGCGGTGGCGGCGCAGGTGCGGTTCAAGGTCGCCGGCGTGGTGTACACCAGGCCGTACAACGTCAGGGTGTCCTGCAGCGACGTCTACTTCGTCGTCGCCGACAACAAGAGCGCCGCCGCCACCGCTTCGTCTACGCCCATTGATTGCCATGGCTGATTTCATGTGTTTGTGTTGTATATGCGTGTGCATATGGTTTGATTTTGGGTTGTGTGATTGGTATATTGCGAGGTCTGGTCTGAACCGTTTGTGACGCTACCTCATATTTTGCAAATATGATTGAAATTTTAATATGTATAACATCAATAACATGTTTGGTGTAATGCATGGGTTGATCGATGATGTGTAATGTCTACATTTGTACGAATTGTAGTGTGACTAGTAACTCCATTCCATGTGTACAAATGTAAATCAATTCCATTAAAACACACGCATTTATATGTACGTATCATCAACATATAACATGGGAAAACTCATTTCATCCCTTAGAGTATCCTCTCATTTTTCTAGGTTATTAAATAGTCACTATTTGTTTTTTTTTTAAAATAGAATGATAGATATATTTCATTACACAAACATGCAAATTCAAATTCAACCTACAATACAAGTACAAAAAACTGTGAATAATGTGTATAAGTTAAATTTAAATTTATAGGTTTGTTGAGCATATATCAAATATTGGCTTATCTTGTTTTTTTTTCAAACATTTTGATGGCTTTTCGGAACATACACAACATGATCTTTACATGAAAAAAAACACAGTAACACACATCATGTATGTATGTATATATCACATGCATCAACACACAGATATATGATGTTACACCAATCCATTGGGATGCAAATTAATCATAATGAAGTGATTAACAATCAATCAATCCAAAAATTAGCCAATCCATGCATGCAAACCAATCTTTACTGTACCACTCCAACCATCAGTATCCTCAATCACCATCCGATCGATGCCGCGATCACACCGACGCGGCGGCGGGGCGGGCAATGCCGGTGTGCGTGACGAGCGCCCAGAGCACGGTGACGAACTCGCCGCCGCGCGCCAGCGCCTCGCCGTGCGCCCTCACCTGCTCGGCGTCCCTCGCCGGCGCCACGTACACGACGATCTCCGTCCACACGTCGGCCACCAGCTTCCACACCGCCGCCTCGTCGCCGCCGGCCGCCTCGTCCATCAGCGCCTTCCCCAGCCTCGCCCCCTTGCGCACCACCGTCGTCTCCTCCGCCGCCGCCTCGTCGTCTTCTTGGCCGCCGGCGATAGCCATCATCTTCCCGTACCGGGTGGCGTCCGTCGAGAAGTAGTAGCCCTTGAGACCCAGCTCCCGCTTGAGCTCCGTGGTCATGGCGCCGTACACCCGCGCCGTGCAGTCGACGTCGTCGGGGAGCATCTCCCGGCGGAACGCCACCAGGTAGGCGCAGTAGCGGGACAGCCGCGTCGCCACCGTGCTCGACCTCGCCGCCGCCGCCGCCTCCTCCTCCGCGTGCGGCGGGCACCTCACCTCCAGGAGGCTGGTGGCGATGTGCCATGTGAGTATCACCTCGGCGACGCTGCCGCTCTCGCATGCCGACGAGATCAGCCGGGACGCGTTGCACAGGGCGTTCCTCGCCGCCACCGCCGACCTGCCGGCGCTGAGCGGGGCGACGGCGCCGTCGTACGCCGCGAGGTACTCCACGATGGATTGCTTCGCCTCCTCCGGCACGGCCGCCGCCGGCAGCTTCAGCGGGAGCCTGCAGAACCAGAGCACGGAGTACTGCTTGACACGGAGGTAATTGCGGCGGCTCATCCTGTTCGTCACCCACTGGACGCCGCGGATGGCGGCGCGGCGGAGCCGGCTCGGCGGCTTGACGGCGTAGTCGCAGACCATGGAGACGGTGAGCCAGTTGGAGAGGAGGAAGACGGCGAGCTCCCACGCCTCCTCGTAGAGGATGGTGAGGAAGAGGAGGAACGTGATGGAGAGGTCAATGGAGGAGAAGAGCGCGACGGCGACCGGAGTACTCTGCTCAGGAGGCACCTCGTCATCCTCAGCAAGCCGAACGACACGGCGTAGTTGTCCCTCTTGATGCTGCCGGCGATGAAGGCGATGTAGCCGTTGCCGCAGAGCACGACGGTCATGAGGCAGAGGCCGAGCACGAGGACGGGGAAGACGATGTAGTTGACGAGGAGGAAGAAGGGGCTCGCGAGCATCACAGGGAGGACGGAGTGGTAGTACTCGGTGACGAACCCGAGCTCGTCGTCGATCACCTCGAACAGCGTCGCCGCCGCCGTCGCGGCGCCGCCGTCGTTGCACAGGCCTCGGAAGATGAGCTCACGGCAGTCGCCGGCCTCCGCGGCGGTCAACGGCGTCTCTTCGAACTCGCGGCGAAGCAGCTTGAAGAGAGCGTAGGAGAGGCAGAGCCGCTTCAGCTTCGGGTTGGACACCAGCAGCTGGTCACTCTCGGCGAGCGACCACACTCTGCCCACGGTGACGACGGCGTCGTCATCGCCGGCGACTGTCTTGCGCAGGTCGACGAGGTAGCCGTTCGGCCCGGCCTCCCTCTGCAGGTTCTCCTCTCCCATGACGGCGTACTTGCAGCTCGTCATGAGCTCGTCGTCTCGCCGCGGGCGCCGCTCCTGCTGCTCCAGCGTCTGCGCCATGTAGCCGGCGAGAAGCTGCGGATTCTTGCCGAAGGCGAAGGAGCGCTTAACGAACTCACCAATCGCGACGCGCTGCACCAGCTTGGCAGCGGCGACGACCCAGAGCGCGCCGAACACCGCCTTCCGGCCGGCGCCGTGGACGTTGAAGAAGACGAGGTAACCGAGGAAGGCGACACGGCCGGCACGGCTGGTGGGGCCGCCGCCACTGGCGCCCTTAGTGCCGGTGACCGTGGCCTCCACCTTCTTGCGGAGCAGCTCGACGAGCAGCATCCATGCGAGAATGAGCCGCGCACGCAGAGGCAGCTCGGCGTCGGTGGCGTCGCCGGCGCCGGGGACGTCGTTCTTGGCCTCGGAGAAGAGGTAGGAGGTGACGGGGAGGAAGAGGGCGAGGGAGACGGAGAGGACGAGGCGCGCGGCGGGGCGCAGCGTGGCGGCGCCGGCGAGGAGGTCGAAGGCGAGGAGGAGGGCGGCGAGGAGGAGCATGGTGAGGGAGGTGGCGACGATGGAGACCTCGTTCTTCTGGTCGGCGTAGGAGGAGGTGAGGTTGTAGACGTAGGAGCCCATGGCGCCGACGGCGCCGCCGCAGTGCGCGTCCGTCCCGTTGAAGTAGTCCATCGTTGATTGCGACGACGAGCTAGCAGATATGATGTTCTTGCTCTTGCAGCTAATTAAATTAATCAATGGATGTAAACATGGATCGATGCATCAACAACTTGTTAATGGAGATCGAGCTAATTGATCGATCGATCAAATAATGGATGCTTTTGTTCGAATTGGTAGGTAGGTGATCTAGCAAGCTGGCTGAGCACACACAGAGAGAGATTCAGTCTGCTTTATTCGATTTTTGTATGGTGATTAGGCATTTAGGCCCAGGTGAACAAGTCCCTGGGCTGCGGCTGGATTGGGCTGAATTTTCTAGGATTCTGCTACAGCTGTGCTCTGGCTGGCAGTGGGCCTTGTATATATGCCTTTGAGCCAGACAAATTTGTATACGTGCCATCGTTAGAAACAGGCTTCGCTGAAATGCTATCGTAAAAAGGGATTCGCTCCAATGCCACTGTTAAGCTGTGGGCATTCGCTACAATGCTATTTTTGGTGTTTGTTGTATTTGCAAAATATTTTTTATCGAAATAATTTTTTGGGACGGTTTTACCCCTGGGCGTGGATGTGGTTAAGACCATCCACATATGCGTTTCTCAGAGCATCTCCAACAGCCTCTCTAAATCGGACTCTCCAAACACCCATATAACTAGCTCTCCAATTGATTTGTCAAGCCAAACTCATTCCTCGCTCCAACAGCCTCTCCATCTACACTCTCTATTATAAGCTTATGACACTGGGACCCACACGTCAGTCTCTCCTACACCATCTTCCTCCTTTTTCTCTTCCTCTTCTTCTCCTCTCAGCGCTCTTCCCGCACGACGGTGAGCACGCAGAGGCTGGCGACGGCGGCGGCGGCTCTCTACGACGACCTCGACGACAACCCGTGGAGCGGAGGTGGAGGGGGCAATGCTGGATGGCCGATGAGGGCGGCCGCGTCGGATGCGGCCAGGGTCGGAGGCGGCTGGCGCGGAGGAGACAGCGCCGACAACACCTTGCCGCTGCCACTCCCTTCATGCCCTCGACGCCGGTGGCCGCGAGCGGGAGGCCTTGGCGATGCTCGCCGTCGTGCCGCCCCACCGGCGCTTCTCCTCCGCCTCTCGACCTTGCTTCCGACCTCCGATCCTCAATGTTGCACGGACGAACAGCGGGAGATGGCGAAGATGAAGGGCGAGAATACTGGAAGGGCGGTAGCGGGTCCTCAACTCTCTGTCACCGCCGTACGGGAGCTGGGATGTGTCGCCGCCGCTGCACAGAGGGGCGTCATCGTCGTTCTCATTGTTGCTTCCGCGCTGAGCATAATTAATCGTGTGCAGTCAATGAGTACATCGTGACAAATTGATCTTTGTTTTCTTCAGTGAGGTATCTGTCAGATGCTAATGGTGGTGGGTTCTTGTCCTGAGTCCTGACGTGTATCCGAGGTAGGCTCCATCTCGTTGCTCTGTCCCCGTCCGTCGCCACCGCTCCAAGGCCGCCATTCCTCTACCAGGCAGAGCAACGAAAGGAAGGGACAAGCTCGAGCTCAAGATCTGGTGGTCGCCGACTCTGTTGAGCTCCGGTCCTCCTGCTCCCTCTGCTCTGGCGGGCCGCGCGGGCCGGGGAGGTGCCGCCTCACCGACAGGCGATGGCGGAAGGGGGACGGTAGGGGAGTCAGGGAGAGGAGACGCCGGCAATGCAGTGGAAGGGGATGGGGCGGCATCGAAGTGTGCAGAGAAAGGGATACGGGGAAGAGAAACGGTGTGGGCCCCACGGTTGGCCATCCGATTTTGGCTGGCCAAGTTTGGCCAGCGAGGAACCCAGTCTGGCCAGCCAAATAGCTTGGAGAGTGAGATAGCCAATTTGTTGGAGTCTGTTTTTTATCCAAAATTGCTAAATTTTAGCTTGGAGAGTGAGATAGCCATGCTGTTGGAGATGCTCTCACACTGGCGTCTGCGACCACATAGAGCGAGAGGGAGAGAAGGGCGAAGACAGCGACACCACGCCGACCACGTCGACGCTGCCGCCCGACGCACGCGTGCATTGCCACCGACAGCCGACGCGCGCGCGCCGCCGCCGCCGCCCGACGCACGTGCGCGCCGCTGCCTTCTCCCCTATCCGCGCCGCCGCAACAGCAACAACAGTACATGCATGCTTTGGTTTTGCAACAGCTGATCTTGGAAAGGGGGTACGTTGAATCCCAATCTGTAGTTGTGAGGCCGGTGCATGGCTTTTGGGTTGGAATTCTCTGATACCTTTTCCTGCACAAGCCTCAAGTAAAGACCGTGAAGCGGTCTTTGTTGATGGAGCTTCTGCGATGCTGTTAACTCTTTCTGGAGATTCCTCAGAGTCGGATGATGATGATTCTTAACGTTGAGCGCTCAAAGAAGTCACTGCTTGGCTGAGGAATGATGATGATTCTTGATGGGGAAAGAATGCGGCGGCGCCAGCGGCTGTTGAGGAGACGACCCAGAGGAATGGATGCTGGGCGGGGGGAGGCTGCGGCGCCGGCGCGGTTGGGGAAAGAATGCGGCGGCGCATATGGGGGAAAGGCAGCGGTAGGCCGACAGCGCGCGCGTGAGTCGGGCGGCGGCGCCGGCAGGCTGGCAGCGCTCGGTTTGAGGGCAGCGGCGGCGGCGGCCTCGTGCGTTGGGCGGCGCCAGCGCCGGCGGTGGCCATTCTCCCTCTCGCTCGATCTGTTCGCGTTGGAGCCACAGAGAGAGAAAAGCACGACTCCTAGGGGCAAAACGGTCTGAGAAAAATATATTTTGAGGGAAAATGTTTTGGAAATGCAACAAATAGTGAAAATGGCATTCTAGCGAACGCCCACGGGTTGACAGTGGTATTCGAGCGAATCCCATTTGAACGATGGCATTGTAGCAAAGCCTGTTTATAACGATGACACATATGCAAATTTGTATATGTGCCATCGTTAGAAATAGACTTCGCTGAAATGCCATCGTAAAAATGGGATTCGCTCCGATGCCATTGTTAAGCTGTGGAAATTCGCTACAATGCTATTTTTGGTGTTTGTTGTATTTGTGTTGACGCGAAAAACACACACTAGTCTGGGAGATCTGCTTAGCTCCAGTGCAGGTCCAAAGGTTGGTGAGATGCAGGCGTGCCAGTCAGTTTGACCCTGCAACTGACAAGATATGCAGATAGTAGATCAATGAGACGATCGGCTGACAAGCCGATGGAGTAATTCCAGCCGATGCCGATACCAGCCGATGTCGATAGGGTTTTAAGCAATCGGCTATATGTCCAATGTAGATAATGATATAAAGGCAATCGGCTGTTGATAATATGATATAACAATAATATAATCCAGTATAAACCAATCGGCTAACAACATGATATAATATAATAAGCGCTGATCCGAAGGTTGAAATATATATCGGCTGGAGGTCCGATGTCATAAAATCCACAAGATTAGATAAACAGTGAAACCTTTGTTGTCATCGGCTAAATCCAACTTATATATATATGCAATCCTTATAAGCCGATGCAACGTCCAGATAACTTATCGGCTAGCACCCCAATAAAACAGTAGCATGAACCTATCGGCTTAACAAGATTTATATTATCAATAACAATCTAGTAGGTCGAACCTAACCGATGCAGCACGAGATTTGTATATGATAATCTAATACTCGATAAGCCGATAGATCTGTCTAATGTGATGGATATAACAAATCTATTTAGAACAGCATTGTGATTGTAGAGATATATCGGCTAAGACAGAAGATCGGACCTAACCGAGATAGTCCCAACTAAACCGATGTGTCTCTAAACACAATGCAATTAGAGATAGAATTAAGATATCAGGTAGGCAAATATATCAACCAAACCAGAGCGATCCAAGAGATCGAAGTGATGCAGCCTTAAACAACACCAATGTAGCCGATAGATTCACCAGGACCGGTGGAACGTAGGACTTACCCCTTCGCCGGAGATCGAAAGCCGATGCAGCCCCGCGTCAGGTGCCAAGTTCCGCCGGATGATAAGTAAAAACCTCGGTAAAGAGGGTGGCGATGCGCCGAGAGTATTATTGATCGAGAGATTGATTACAATGACCCCGGGTGTACATATTTATACCCATGGGTAGATACTAGTCCTTGTAGGACAAGAAATGAACTTTTCTAAAGATAAAAAGAAAACATAAAGTCCTTATCGGACACTAAACACACTTTCCTAAAGATAAAAGGAAACTAACAAATTATTCCTAATTAATAGATAAACTGCCATGCCGCATCCTCTTTGAACTCAGTTGCTTATGGATAAGCTTCCTTTAGTAGATTAATTTCCTTAACCGAATATAGCAGGAATCCGACTATTGGCGACTTGATAACTCCCATCGGCTGATTTCGAGATGCTGAAGCCGATAGTTACTCTAAGCCGATGATGACCTTGGGCTTACCAAATTTTGGCGTTAACACATGCCCCCCAGTTTTGGAGTGTGATGACTCATGCTCCAAAATTCTGTTCTGTCTGATCTTGATAACTCCAAAACTGATCTTCTTTTGCTTCTTGCAATCGACTTTCATGAGCTGATACCGTCTGCATTAGATGAGCCAGGCCATCAAACTCGTGGCAAAATAATCTATCTCTGATAGGTGCTGACAACCCTTGGAATGCAAGATCTGCGAGCTGCTCATCACTTAGACTCAAACAATAACATCGGCTGTGAACATCACGAAATCTTTGGATATATACTATAGCCGATTCTTCTTCTTGCTGCTGAACTGATATCAAATCTGAAAGCTTCATCTCATTGATGCCAGCAAAAAAGTAGTCATGAAATTGCTTCTCAAGATCGGCCCATTCTCCGATAGAATTCGATAGTAGTGATGAAAACCATGTGAAGGCCGATCCAGTCAAAGACAATGGAAAAAATCTAACTTTCGGAGCCTCTTCAGCCGATGCCTCCCCACATTGTGCTAAGAATTGGCTGATGTGTTCCTTTGTAGATACATCATCTTGCCCTGAAAACATGGAGAAATCTGGAATCTTGTATCGGTGCAGAAGTGGAACTCTATCGAACCACTCAGGATATGGCTGCCGATACATATGGATCTGTTCCTTAGGTCTCATTCCAAACTGCTCCTCTACTAATTTTGCAATTCTATCGGCCAAATCATTGTTATATTGATGCCCATATTGATGAAGTTCTTCTGGCCGATATTGATATGGCTCATCATGTTGATACTGATATGTTTGCCCCCCGAGCCGATATTGTTGTTGTTCTGCAATCTGCCCCCCGAGCTGGCTTTTCTGAATAATTAACTCATCAACTGTTACCTTGATCAAACTTTGTATTGTATCTGCCAAAACTCCAGATTGATTAAACAATGCGCGCGATGAATTGCTTCATCAACTGTATCTTGAAGTATTTCAACTATCGGCTTGGGGAATCGAGTCTTCTGAGTTGGCCCTTCTAGTGTCATGTTGAAACATTGAAGACAACGCATTTGAAAATCAACTACAAACTGCTCCATCTGTTGCCTCTGTTCCTCCGTTAAATTCTCCACTGTGACCATGATCTTGGCATTGACTTCTTCTTCAGACATGTGGATATAAAATTCGTGGTCCTACCAGGTGTGCCAATTTGTGTTGACGAAAAAATCGAACACGCCGCCCTAGGAGATCTGCTTAGCTCCAGTGCTGGTCCAAAAGGTTGATGAGATGCGGACGTGCCAGTCAGTTTGATCCTGCAACTGACAAGATATGCAAACAGCAGATAAAACAGCCGATCGGCTGACAAGCCGATGGAGTAATTCCAGCCGATAGCCGATATTAGCCGATTCCAATTCCAGCCGATGCCGATAGGGTTTTGAGCAATCAGCTATATGTAGATAATGATATAAAGGCAATCGGCTGTGAAAAACATACACTGGCCTGGAAGATCTGCTTAACTTCAGTGCAGGTCCAAAAATCTTGCCTTTAGGTTCGTGAGCGTTCCAGTTGATTTGATCCTGCAATCAACAAGAAATAAAGACAGGAAAATCGTGGTTAAATCCATAAATGATAGCCGATCGGCCAGTCGCTGATGACATATCATTTATCTTCCAGCCGATGTCATATTTGAATCGATTGGCAATTATAAATAAGCAAGACAGAACTAAATCTACTCGATCGGCTGTAGATATTAACGATATATAATTCTTCTGTCGATGTATATTTAAATCAAGTGATTGGGATAGATCGGTCGCCATGCCGAGACAGTATAAATCACTTAGATCGAAGTATACATTAACATAAAGATTATAAACGTCTATAGCATAGCCGATCAGATAGATCTAGTATGTAACGGCTAATACTCCAATACTACTCTATATTAAGATATTAAAACAGCTAGAATATATCAAACAGAAGTCTAATATACTTTATTGCAATAAGATCTTAACATAAAGGGCATATTTAATATATCAATCAAGCATATAAGGATATAAAGTAGTTAAATTAGGTAAGATCGGCTGAAACCCCGATGCTATCTCCCTAGATAAACATAAAACAAACTAGATATCATGATTATAGATATTACTTAATAGATCAAACTCAACCGATGCAGCATTAAGCATAAAGACAAGCGCAAGATGTAAGCAAGATGATGAGAATATGTAAGAGATGGTGGATACACGATATAATCTAGATCGATAGCAAAATATAACTCTACCGATTGTTTCCTAACAACAAGAATCAGCCGATAACAAGTTATATAGTGCGATTAATAGAGATTATAACGCATATATGATAACTCGACGATTTACATAAACAGAATTAGAGTGTTATAAAGATGGAAGCACTAATCCCGAGAACGCAAGCCGCCATGACAAGTATACCTCTGGTTGAAGATCAAATTGATGCATCTCGACCCGAAAGCAAGAACTCGTCGAAATAGAATGAAAGTAAAAAGGGTGGCGATGCGCCGAAGTTGTATTGAACGTGTGTTGTTTTTTACATGGTCCTCGGGCTATATTTATACCCGAGATACATAGTATGTCCTTGCCGGACACGACTCCTAACTCTATTACAACTCTAAGACACCACAAGTCTTTACGGCAGACTCTTGCCCAAACATATCTCTAAGGAAATAACATAAAATATCCTAATTAATAGATACAATTGCCTTTCTGGGACTCAATCCGTGCGTGGCAATCCATATGAAGCACCTTGTCTTAACCCGATGACGTGTACCAAGTCATATTACCAAAATCGGCTTAATCGGCTAACCTTGTCCAACTCAAACTCTGCCGATCTTGACCATAGCCGATTCGGACTTCAGCCGATCCTTACTCTGTTTCCGAAACAACTTATCCCTTGGATTTCGCTTCGATTTTATCTCTAGCTCCGATACTTGAATTACCAAATTTGGTCATTAACAAACGCATGTGAGGACTGAGGTGAGAGATCTTGAGTTCAAATCCCACATCTCACATATATTTTTGAGAAAATTCCCTATGTAGCATCAGAAAAAGTTGCTCTTCCCTCTATAGCATCTAAACTTAAAAAATTCACTACCTAGACACCCTCAAAATTTTTCTTCCCTATCTGGCATTTCTGTTACTCCGGTTAGCCTCCACCGTCAAAACAAGAGACATGGACCCACCATCAAGAGACCAGCACGGGCAGCCAGCCCCAGGCTTACTCGGCCCTGTAGCTCTTGCTCTCGTGACCCATTACAGTGCTCGACCAAGCGCAAGAGGAGAGAGCTCAAGTGGTGACGCGCGACCTCGCCGGCGCCGCCACCGCTGTGCCGGCTGATGCGGTCTCTGTCAACGCTGCCTCCCACACGTCCTTGTTGGAGATGGAGCCCAAGAAGTCACACTTCGACAGCGCGAGCCGGCAGCAGGACCTCGAGCTCGTCGGCCGCCTCTTGGGCGTCCTGACGGCAACGCGGAGCTGGCGGGGAGAGGCGGCGCGGTTTAAGCGGCAATGCTAACAGCGGCGCATGTGGTGGGCGGCGCCAGCGAGGTCGCACGTCGCTGCTCGCAGCCATCGCCTCTGCTACCAGCCGTGACCCCCGAACCCCATCGCTGACGATGTGCTGTAGCGTCGTACTCGCCAACGACGGCCACTCGTCTGCGAGAGACAAGTCGCCATTGCCAACGGCGTCCGCTCGCAGCTGCCGAGCCTGCAGGTGCGCCGCCTGAGCCGCTGCTCGTAGTCACCGCCTCCGCTCCAAGCCGCCACCCCCGAACCACGCCGCCGACGATGTGTCGCGGCGCCGTCCTCGCCAACGATGGCCGCTCATCTGGGAGAGACTAGTCACCATTGCCGCCGGCCTCCGCTCGCAGCCACCGAGCCTGTAGGTGCGCCGCCAGCGCCGCTGCTCCCAACTGCCACCCCCAATCCACGCCATCGACGATGTGCTGCAGCGCCATCCATACTAACGACGGGCGCTCATCTGTGAGAGATGAGTCCATTGTCGCCGGCCTCCACTTGCTGCCGCCGAGCCCGCAGGTACGCTGCCTGAGCTGTCGCCCCCAGCCGCCACCCTCAAAAACTTAAAAAAGGGCAAAACCGTCTTTTCTCCTGCTAGTTAACACCGTCACCCTCAAAACTAACGGAAGTGCCAAACAGGGAAGAAAAATTTTGAGGGTGCCTAGATAGGGAACTTTTGAAGTTTGGATGCAATAGAGGGAAGAGTTGCTATAGAGGGAAGAGCAACTTTTTTTGATGCTAGATACGGAATTTTGTCTATATTTTTTGACTTGGTATGCATCTTTAGTCCTAGTTATTTTAACCGGGACTATAGACATCTTTAGGCCTGAATTGAGTGTCCCGGTTTTTTTACTTGTTATGCATCTTTAGGGTATAGACATCTTTAGTCCTAGTTATTTTAACTGGCACACATCTTTAGTCCTGTATTGAGCGTCTTGGTTTTTTTACTTGTTATGCATCTTTAGTTCTGGTTATTTTAACCGGAACTACCGGTTGCATAACCGAGACTAAAGGGGTTACAAACCAGGACAAAAGATGGGTTCCCCGCTAGTGCCTGAACCTTAGTTAGTGCATATCACCTGTTCATTCTGTATCTGAAAGAAGATTTTTGCACTGCTTACTTTTATATAAAACATGCACGGGATATATACATGATTTCTAGTACAGAATTGAAACTTGAAAGTTAAAAATGAGAGCATATGTTCTTCAGAGACAGGCTAGCAGAAGTGCGCAAGCAAGTTCGAAGGCGTATTTTACGATGAAGCATAGAAGTAGAGATTAGTGAAGATGGAGCGCAGAGACGGAGGATCAGCCTTAATTTGGAAAGGAAATTAAGACTGAGCTAGTGATCCCTTCCATTTTGAAACATATCATTATTACTAAAGGAAAGGAAAGATTGAGCGTACTTGATTACCAAAACAAAGAAAATCCCATAAATACGATACCCATCTCACGCCGATCGATCAAGCGCAGCCATGCCCGCCAACTCCGGTGGACGGCCAACCCGGCGAGCCTGGCCAACCTGGTGAGCCCGGCCAACCAGGAGGGCGCGGTCGCGGAGGCCGTGGTGGCCGCGGCGGCAGTGGAGGCGCTGGCGGCCGCTTTGGGGCTCGCCGAGATGGCGCCCGAGGAGGGTGGCCCCGGCGGTATCGGCGGCGAGGGTGGCCCCGGAGGGGATGGCGGCCCCCACGGTATCGGTGGCAGCGGCGGGGACGGTGGTTGCGGCGGGGTCGGCGGCCTCGGCAGGAAAGGTGGCCGCGGGGGTCACGGTGGCCGCGGCGGGAACGGCGGCTTCGGCGGTGGTGACGGCGGCCGCAGTGGGGACGGCGGGGAAGGTAGAGTAAGAGGCCGCGGTGGGGACGGCGGAGTAAATTAAATTAGCAACTTTACCTGATGAGTAATGCATTTATATTTTAAAACTATACTAGGCCAAATAAAGGGTTGCAAAATCGCCTCTCTATTGCAATGATAGTTGCAATATTTTTCTGCATTATTAAGATTTTTGAGAAACAGGAGAAGAAAATAAGCCAATGTTGTATTTCTGTTTCTATGGTTGAAATTAAACAAGCAGCACAGCATCAGGCCAATCTATTTCTTTTGTATGTTCTTTCTATGGCAGTAATGAGAGGAGATAAAAGTTAATTCAGAAATCAGAACTAATTAGAAGATTGCCACTTGTTCAAAAAAAAAAGAGAAGCTTTTCCTATCAGTACAGGTCCAAGCATGGATAGATGGCTCAGTGCATGCACAATGCAATCTCAAGTGGAAGTATAGATTAGACTATCTCCAACAGGCTAGGCATAGCGACACCCAAACCCAAAATGCGTGCTCCAGGCTACTGTAGCGGAAAAAAACAGGGTCCAACAGAGTACCCATACTAAGGACCTATTTTAGGTGCTAGCCGAGGCGGAACCCAAATATGAGTGCCCTCTCTCCTCGACCGAAACACCTGGCGCAACTGTTTCGCGGGAGGTGGAGAGAAGAGGAAAGCGCACCTGGCCCCGGCGATAGGGAAAGCTCCGCCGCCGACGAGATCTGCTCTGAGCTAGACTTCGCAGGTATGGATCTCTCTCCAACCCACCCTCCTTCATCCCCGGTCCCATCTCTCCTCTCTCTGGACATGGATTTGGCCGCGGCCGCTCGCACCCTGGCCAAGGGCGCATCGCGCCGCATGCTGTGCCTAGCCCCAGCGACGCCGCTCAAATTTTTGTTGACCGCACCTTCCCCAGCATGTTTGTGCCATGTTTGATTGAATCTCTGTTGTAATAGGATGATGGATAAAAGTATTGGTGGCTCAAGTGCTCGCGCTGGTGAATCTGAAGAAATATTTGGGACAAATCAGTGGGCTTTTGGTTTTTCTGCCGCTTTGCATTCTTTTGATGTTCCTCCGAACCCCCAGGTTTATTGCAGCCATGCATATGATGATTTTCTTTATTTACATATCAATACATCGATGATTAACAGTCCTTTTCATCACTAGTTCAACATGCATGGCTCGTCCCAAATGTCATGCCCACCTATAAATGAGCAACCTAGCCAGGGGTTCTCCATTGACAACAACATTGGCTCTGAGGACCCTCCATCATTGAAATCACAGAGGGCTGCAAAGAAGAAGAAGGTGTCCAGGAGAGGAACTGCATTCACCAAAGAGGAGGACATGGTGGTGTGTTCGGCATTTCTGAATATTAGCAAAGACGCTATTACAGGTAATCATTTGCAACATCTTTTATGAATTCTTTGATGCCCAAATAACATGGTGGCATAACATGCAGGTGTGAATCAAACTTCAGGTGGTTATTACAAGAGGATGCATGATTATTTCAATGAGCACAAACCTGAAGGGTCCAACCGTAGCCAGATTGCTATTCAGCACAGGTGGGCATTGATTCAGAAAGCGAAACAAGTTCTGTGGGCACAAAGCAGCCGTTGATAGGCTAAATGAGAGCGGAAAAAATGAGCAGGATCGGGTATACTTTCACTCATATTATCCTCCATCTATCTAATTTACATATGGTTACTTTCTAACCGGTTTAATCTATATTTATTTTTGATAGAAGGTTTAATCTATATTCATATTTGCAGATAGATGATGTTGTACAAATGTACGAGAAGACAGAACCTTTTACCTTCATGCATTGTTGGAAACTACTTCACAACGAGGCCAAATGGAACAATAAGTTTCTTGAGCTAAACAACTCTACATCACCTGATCGAATGGAACCTCCTTCAACTCAAGGCCATACTGTAGCCGGCCATGCAGAATCTGGGAATGAGAATATAGACACAGCACGGCCTGAGGGTAGGGATAGTGCGAAGAGGCGTAGATCGAAGAGCTATGCAGAGACATCATCATCTAGTACAGCAGTTGAAGTCCTCCAGCGGTTGCAGGAGAAATCAGAGAAGACCGAACTGAAGCAAGACCAGCAGATGGTTGAAATCCTTAGTAGGAAGGACGGAAAAATTAAAATTCAGAGGGATCTTTTCAACCTTCAGAAGAAGCATATGAAGATGAGTGTGAAGCAGCACAAGAAGGAAAATGAGATTAGGGAGAAGCAGACTGAGGCTCAACTGATGTCAGCTGAGTCTAGTATTATGTCCATTGACATTGAGAAGGTCCCCCCTTATCTGAAGAACTATTATCTAGGCATGCAACGACAAATCATGGAGCGCAGAGGATTCAGTAGTCCCTTGAACAACGGAGACTAAGGAGCGTGTGTGTTGAATATATGTCCAACTTGGTTCGCTTGAGTTGAACTTTTCTATTGTGTGCAACTTTGTACTATTATCTATTGGAGTGATGTGTGTCTGTTCATGTAGTGACTATTATCTATTGGAGTGATGTGTGTCTGTTCATGTAGTGACTATTATCTATTGGAGTGATGTGTGTCTGTTCATGTAGTGACAATTGTTCATTTCAGCAACAAAATGTCATATATTTCTTATCAACAACAAAATGTCATATATTTCTTACCAACAGGCAACAAAATATCTTTCAGCCACTATAGTTCATGTGAGCAGCCAACAAAATACAAAGGTCTTATGAGTAGGCAGCAAAAAAACTAAGCCTACAACTAAAGACTAGTTCCTGTGATTTGCAGCAAAGGGACCAGAGCATTGGCCATATAGCATCCACATGTGTTCCATCAAGTCATTTTGAAGCAATGCTGCTGTCTCTCTGTCCTGAATGATGTTTTGAGCATCAACAAGTTTTTCAATTGCCGGGATTTCCCTATCCTGGTTAATAGGTGGGTCGGACACTCCAGGCCATTCTGATGGATGGACAGTAGGTAGCTGAACCCCACGCTCATCTTCAACTACCATGTTGTGAAGTATGACACAAGCACGCATGATGGAATTAAGTACTTTTGGACTCCATAAACGAGCTGGCCTATGCAAGATTTTCCACTTAGCCTGCAGGACACCGAAAGCTCTCTCCACATCCTTTCTACACGACTCCTGTTGCTCTGAAAATACCTTTTGTTTGTTGCTAACTGGCAAAGCAATGCTTTTCACTAGTGTAGCCCAATCGGGATAGATGCCATCTGCTAGGTAGTATCCAAGGGAATAGATGTTGTCATTGATATGGAACTCAACAGAGGGTGCCCTCCCTTTAGCCACATCATCAAACACATTGGAACGATGCAAAATGTTAATGTCATTGTGAGACCCTGGTAAACCAAAGTAAGCATGCCAAATCCTAAGATCCTCGGTCGCCACTACCTCAAGTATTAGAGTTGGCTTGCCTTTGTGCCCTCTGTACATGCCTTGCCAACCAGTCGGGCAGCTAGACCATTCCCAGTGCATGCAATCAATGCTACCTATCATTCCCGGAAAACCTCTGGCCAAATTGATGCTTAATATGTGCTCTATCTCCTCACTCCTGGGAGGACGAAGAAATTCTTTGCCAAACACCTTGATCATAGTCATAACAAATTCCATCAGGGTCTTCAGGACAGTACTTTCTCCCATTTTCAAATGATCATCCAACTCATCAGCCGGTCCAACATATGCTAGCATCTTTAGAGCCACCGTGCACTTGTGAAGAGCAGAGAATCCTAACTGCCCAGCAGCATTTCTCCTCTGTGTGAAGAACCTGTTCTTGGCTGTGACCTCATCCACTATTCGAAGGAACAATTCCCGTCTCATGCGAAACCTACAACCCAAAATTACAGTTGTTTATCAAATTAATTCAATATATCTGCAAGAATAGTGAGCAATATACAATTGATCATGAAAATGTTGGCATTTCCTTCAACACAAATATTTCATGAAAATGGAAACTGGGCCAAAGATTCTACCTTCTCCTGAAATGTTCTTCATTGTACAGTGGACGTTCAACGAAGTAGTCCTGATTCAATTGCCAGTCTGCTGCAATTCGATCACGCTTGTAAGTCTTGTGACCAGGGACTGAACCTCCCCAAGGGCGTTTTCGTGGCGTCTGGGTGAGGATGACCACTGCGGCCATGATCTCATCGTCCTCGGAGTATGCTGCGGCTGTCCCGAACATTGACATTTTGACGTAACTCCAAGCCATGGCCACCACAACGGAAGTGCAGGTCTAAAGCCAAGCCAATTTAGGGACAAATTAGCCACAAATTAAAAGGGAATGTGACATCGAACAAGCAAATGCTAGAAATCAGATTACCTGTGTTCTGATTGACTCTGCTGCGCCAACGTTCGGCCTTGTCCGAACGGTCGCTCGCCGGCGGCTACCTCGCTGCCACTGAGACTCCCTTCTCACATGCAGCCGGGGCGGCAAAACAATCCTGCCATCGAGCCAACCCCACAGTCCCGCGCCCCGCGCCCGGTATATCTCGCACGACACCCTCCGTTTCCCGCGTAAAAATTTCATCGCGGGCCCGCGAAGGAAACTGTCTGCATTGCAGGGTTTCCATTTGCGTTCGCTGTTGGAGAAGGCAAGAAATAGGTGCATGACCCTTTTGCCGCAGGCGACGCATACCGTCCAATGGGTCTCCTGTTAAGGGTATTATTGTTGGAGATAGTATTATTCAGCAATATAATGCAGAAAAGGCGAGCAGAAACATCATATGTCCAAAAACTATTTGCCCACCTTGAGATTAATTATGTACTGCAGAGCTTCATGGTGAAACAGTTGGCTGAAAGTTTGAATTATTTGGCCCTTTTAAATGGCATTGATTTCCTATAAATGATAATTAAGCTAACTAACAAAAAAAATATTTCCTCCGTTACATAATGTAAGACTTTCTAGCATTTTCTAAATTCATAAAGATGTTAATAAATCTAGACACATATACAAAACATATGCATTGATTAATAGATGAATCTATTTAAAACCAAAATGTCTTACAATATGACACGAAGGGAGTATCCTTTTAAAGTACATCTGCAAGACAGAGATCAGGTGGTTTATCTCTGTACCAAACTACAAATATGTATGATCCAAACATATATGTATGATCTGCAACATGTACTACTGAGTGGTTGCTTTAATTTGTTAATAATATGCCTAGCTACCACCATACAGGCCACATGTGTTTTAAATGTTTATAATTCGCAAGTTCTTTAAATTTGACATTTAAATGTGTGAAAATAACATATATTATATAAAATTAAATCTGTTCAGTTCACACCTTGCGGCCGGCTGATAGTTTCACCCACAAAAGGAAAAAGTTCACTGCTTGTTTTCGATGTAATCTAAATACTCCAGACAGATAGCATGATAACTCACTGCTACAGAAATTATTTTTTCAGATGAGACCCCATTAGATTGCAGGCGGGCCATAAATACCAGCGCCAGCAAAAATCGGTCCCCTGGGGGGTCAGTTGATGGACAGGAAACCGGTTGGTGGATTGCATGCGATAATGCATTATCGTATGCGGCTACTACCTAAGAGGATACTAATTAAGAAGGAACTTAATATCATATTCTTGCATAAAGCTTGATCAATCATAGCCGTAAAAATGGTGAGATAGAGATACAGTGTTAAGTGCAGCTCTCCAATACTAGCTATAAGCATATGAAAGCGAGTTGGTTTATCGTTGAGCCATGGATGTGCACGTTTTTTCGCTTTTCGCAGAAAGAGACGGAGTGTGATCCTCTTTTGTATGTTGGTCCATATACATACATTTTATTTGGACGAATTTTAAAGGGTGTGGAGCACCAAAGCTGGTCATATAAAGGCGTATAAAGACGAGCACTGTCTGAATTCAGGATCCTAGGCCGGCTAAACCGACACTAAGATACTGATCCCTCGGATTTTTAATGCATGACACATTTACTTTTAGAGACATGTTTGATTATTTATGTTATTAATACTTTCTCTGATTTTTAATAATGCATGACACCTTCAATTTTGAGGACATGCATGTTTGGTCATTTCTTATCTTTTTATTAATTTCTCTCTCTAATTAGGCCAAAAATGTCCTCAGCAAATTATTAGTTGTACTTGTGTCGTGATACGGTTTTTACGATGTTTGTCGGCAAATTACATGAATTTTAAATGTCATGTAGCAAAATTCATCATTAATAAATTATGTTATTTCATTCATTTTATTTATTTTATCATTAAAATTACTTTAAACATAACATATATATTTTACCTAAACTTTTAAATAATAAAAATGGTCAGATGTACGTTAAAAATTAATGACATCACACATTAAAACCTAAAAAAAGGAGAGTAGTTAAATGTGGGCGCACAAACAGTGAACAAATCATGTAAAAAGGCTATAGATATGGGAAAAGTAGTACATGACTTGATAAGATGGACATAACTCGATATTACAATCTCACACGAGCACAAATGACATCAAGATAATTAACTAATTATTGCAGACAACATAAACAAAAGAGCTTTGCTAGCTAGCCTAAACTTTAGCAGACAATGCATGCTGCAAGCCAGCTACTTTAATCCCTTTCCATAGAGATCATAGATGCTCTACTAGTACTGTAGGATAAACATGTCATGAGAAGATAAACAGCGATTAAATTGACTAATTATTTCATCAACCAAGCTAATTAATAAACCAAGCTAGTTTGGCAAGCAAGCAAATTAATTTAGCAGGCGGCGCTCCGGAATCGAATGGCCTTGCCGGGGACGTCGTACACCACCTCGAGCGTGCGCTGCTGAACGTTACCGATGAACCCTGGCATGCGGTCGCTGGCGGTGGGCGCGAAGGCGAGGCAGCCTTGGAGCAGGATCCCCGCCGCGTCGAGGTTGACGGTGGCCCCGCCGTCGAACACCAGGGCGATGCTGGGCAGGGTGATGCTGCGGACGCCAGAAAAGTCGTAGCACGTGTCGAGGATGGACACCGGCGGCGCCGGCCGGTACATGGTCATCGCGCTCCTAAACGCCGCGCGCAGCGCCTGGTACGCCGTCGGCGGAATCCGCGAGATGACGGTGGCGGAGTCGATCACAGAGCTGGCGGAGAAGACAGTGGGCGGCACGGGGAGCGGGCGTCCCGCCACGATGATGGAGCGGAGGAGCACCCTGTAGAACGTCGGCGACATGGTGCTGCTGCTCAGCAACGGCGTGGAGACGAAGGTCGGGACGAGCGCGGCGCGCTGCGGCGGCACGCCGAACATGATGAACCCGAAGGAGCTCGTCGACGGCGGGACGCAGTACGAGAACACCCTGCTGTACTGACTCGCCGTCTGCTGCACGAAAGACTGTGAGCCGCCGCCGAGAGCCAGGGTTCCGGCGACGTCGTAGCTGAAGGTGCTTCCCTGGTCGGCGTGCGCGCAGCCGAAGAGGAAGCCCCTGACGACGTCGTAGGGGCCCAGTGTGAGGTCGTCGGAGCTATACGTCCCGGTCGCCGTCGCGCCGTTGGCGTAGGTGATGCCGAACTGGCACTGCGAGTTGGCCAAGCAGCCGCGGCGGTAGGGGCCGAGCCGCGCGCAGGCGGCGGAGCTGCAAGGGACGGCGGCGTACGTGGTCGAGGTGGCCGGGTCGAACAGGGGGTCCCGCTGCGGGTGGCACACCAGCAGCGGGCATGGCTGGCATTGCACCCATGGCACGTCGCTGCCCGAGTCGATGATCACCGTCTGGCTCACCGCCGACGTGCCATCCGGTGCCGAATTAGTCGTCGCCGTCGTTCCTAACCTCGTCGTCTATAATAACAAATCAATCAACTTATATATGTATAATAGTAGAGAATTGAAGTACATAAAAATATACGTAGTACTATAAATTCATTCACATATACAGGATGATGAGATATTTGTTATATATATATAGGAGTATCGAGCAAGGAGATGGGGCTTACAGTTAGATGGGGCTTTTGGCCAATGCCAGCACCAGTAGCGACCTGGAGGCTACTTACCACATGAGTGTCTCCACCCTCAACAAACTTATGTGGATCCGCGCCGTCGCCGGTGTCGCCAGCGAGCCTCTTCTGGATATAGGCGACGCGGAGTTGGTCGGCGTCGAGCGCCTTGCCCATGGAGGCCACATCGTCGTCGGTGGTGCTGTTGTCCGTGTCCGAATACGCCGGCGAGCATGGCCCGGTGCCCAAGTGCTGTTAACCGACGGTTCGTTACTTGGAGCAACTGTGCATATGACACTAGTCCGTTCGTCAGAGGTTTAAAAAACCTTCTTATGAAAAACTACTCCAGTATGATGTGTAGACGGTTAAGATATTTAATTATTTCATTAGAAAAGACATATATATATATATATATAGTAGCTCTAATCTACACCCCTCTCTTAGAATAACTATTCTACACCCCTCTCGCATCACGGCATCACCCAACCCACTCCTCCCTCCCGTGGGCCTCCTCCCGCGCGCCGCCCCTCCCCTCTTCCTCCCGCACGCGTCGCGTCCCTCCCCCTCCTCATTTTTCTGTCGAGCTCCCCTCCCAGCGCCTTCCCCCTCTCGATCCCCTCCTCCTCCTGGCGCCTCCCTCCCTCCCTCTCTCTTTCTGTTCCCTCCTCCCCCTCCGTATCTCTCTCTCTCTCTCACTCCCGTTCCTTCTTTTCTTTTTTTTTTCTATTTTTCCACCAGGATCGATCCCTTCTCTCTTCCTTCTTTTCTTTTTTTTTCCTCCTATTTTTCCACCGGGACCTCCTCCCGGCGCTTGATCGATCTCTTCTTTTTTTATCTCATATTTTCCCTCCTCCCAAGGTCTATTCTCTTTCCCTTCCTTTGCTTCACCTTAAAAAGAAAACTAAAAATTAAAATAGCAAAATCAAGACTTGAACACATGACCCCATAGTTTATAATAAGCTCTCCTAACCAATTTACCCAATAACACTATGTGATTAGGGGTTATCGCTTGCTTGCTTTCTACCTCTATATAAATTTTATGAGAACAAACCAGTTATATTACTATAGGAATCGTACCTTGTTACTATGATTTGGTAGTAATATTATCGCAGAAGTGCAGTAACACGGTACGTTACTGCGAAATTTATAGGTTATTACTGCGAAATTTATAGGTTGTTACTGCGGTTTTTACAGTAACATCATGATGAAACTGTAGTAACAGAGAACATATGTTATTAATGGTACTACTACAATACCACTACTTGTGCATAGCTAAATTATTAAATCTCAATCTTGTGCAAAATACAAGTGCTAAAAATACATGTGCATATGCATAGTCACAAGTTAACACAAAGTGCTAAAAGTACTTTTCTTCGTTCATATAAAGATACATAGTAGCAAGCTTAGTACAAGTAAACTATTATAATCTAATCTTTAAACAATAATACAATAGTCTTGTTACTACACGATAATCGAGACAACATGCTTAACGAAACTAGATCCATCATGACTATTTTATAACGTTGTTACTGCGGAAAGTAGCCGTGTTACTATATATTGACTGTCGCGTTATTACGCCGTTCCAGCGAGACGAGAACTAAAAAAAAAGTAAATATCAATCTTTAGAGAGCAATATCTCTCACTTTATATATTATTTTTCTAATCCGTCTGCACCATAATATTCGTAAAAAAGTGCTCAACAAAACTAGATCCATCATGACTATTTTTTGATGTCGTTACTGTGAGAAAGTTGTCCTGTTACTGCACGATGACCGTTCCGTTACTGCAGAATTCCTGTGAGACGAGGACAACACAGTGGTGGGCGGGGGAGGGAGTCAATGGACGGGTTTGACCGGCGGGAGGGGGCTTTGACCAGCCTTTGACTGAGGTGGGAGGGGGGATTTGGGCCCTATGAAGGGTGGGGGAGGTGGGATTGGCCCATGGGAGAGGGGGGGGTGTAGAATAGTTATTCTAGAGGAGGGGTGCAGAATAGATTCACTATATATATATATATATATATATATATATATATATATATATATATATATATAGACACACACACACTATATACTATATGTTTATTATGAGAACTTTGAAAAATTAATATTTAAGATGCTCTCAGGAACAGGAATTTGTACAAAAATTTGCACATTTCAGCTTCATCATATATACTTCCTCAGTTTTTTAATAGATGACGCCGTTGACTTTTTCTCACATGTTTGACCATTCGTCTTATTCAAATTTTTTTTTGCAAATATATAAGATATAAATCACACTTAAAATACTATGAGTAATAAAACAACTCATAACAAAATAAATTATAATTACGTAAATTTTTTAAATAAGATGAATGGTCAAACATGTGAGAAAAAGTCAACGGCGTCATCTATTAAAAAATGGAGGTAGTATATAGAAGAAATTATACCCTTGTGGCCAGAGCAGGAAGCTTTTGGTTTCATGGAGCTGGTTGCTATGACCATATAGGCGCCGGGTTCAGCGTCTCCGCCATGAGCAACAAGATTAATGGAGCTAGAGAGGACGAAAAGCACAACCAGTGCTGCTACAAACGGGGTCATGGTCACTATGACTAGATGTGCTTGCCGATAGCTAAGCTGTTGATGGCTACTGCCTGCCTTGCATTGCGGATGTGGAGGCTGCACGTGTTATATAGGGCATATACGTACGGATGCGGGTTTGAACAGTACTTGACAGCACAGGTTATATATACAGAATAATATATGTATATAATGCCCCTCGCTTCTTAAAATGCCAACTAATTAAATACTTATGTGAAAAAAAATGCTGAAACATTGATGTCATAAAAATATATACCGCATGTCTCGCAATATTATTATTCCTAGTATATAACCATAAACTCGATTTAATTTATCTTATGTATCGACTAAAAAGCATTTGCAGTTGGACTTGACGTTTCTTTTTTTAAAGCAAATATTATCTTACATGTTTATTATTATTTTAAATGAAATGAATTTGAAAAACTCTTTGTTCTGATTCCGATCCATAGGTATAATTGTACTTTACATGTACAACATACTCACTACTTTTTCAAAAAAAGATTTTTCCTGACACATATGTTTTACATTTTCAGGCAAATTAAAAAAAATCCCGCTTGTGAAAATAAGAAGAAGCACCATAGATCTAGCCCCGTCTGTAAAAATCAATTTTTACATGCGAAAATACCTTTATTTCCATAGGAGGACCTCTTTAAGTCCCTTTTTTTACAGGCGGGACATAAAGAGGTCCGCTCGCAAAAAAGGTAGTAGCGCTATTAAAGCCACGTGGCACAACTGAGCTCGAGCTAGCTCTTTCTCATGTCTCTGGTCCTCCCTCTCTCCCTCCATCACTCTCAGCCAAGGAGCAAAGGGTGTTGGCAGTGGGGGCGAGGGCAGTAGAAGGGGCGGTAAGGCGGCTCGGGACAAGCGCAGCACGGTGGAGGGAGGAGAGGGGACAGGAGCACGGCTCGGCGGTGGCAATCGCTTCTCCCTCTTGGCTCGACGGAGACGGCGGCGAAGGGAATAGTGGAGGGTCTTGGCGTGGGCGATGGTGTAGTGGAGGGAGAGGTGGCTCGGTCCAGATCTGCTAACTTCTCCGCTCCCCTCCCTTCTCTCTCTTCTCCTAGATCCGGCGTGGCTTGGACGACAATCGAGCTCAGGCGAGGCGGAGAGGCGGATCCTCCTACGACGAGCCCAGGAGTGGCGAACCTACCGCTAGCAAGCTTCGGCTTGGCGACGGCAAGGACGACCACGGCTAGGGCTTCATCTCGGCAACGGCAATGCGGTGAGGTAGCTTCTACCTGGCAACGGCGACGACGACTGTGGCGAGCTCGTTTGATTGGTTTTTTTTGCTGTGAAATTGAGCTGAAAAATCGATTTTGGTTTGGATTCAGTTTTGTTTGCAAAATTTTAGGCTGGATTGTACGATTGGCCAAGGATTTTAGCGGTCAGCCGAGATTGAAATATTTTTTGTAGTCGGACAATATAACTTAGCCGCCTGCGAACCACCAACGAAAATCTATTTCCGTAGGCGGCTAATCTCCGCTTGTAAAAATACTCTATTTTCACTGACCTTTAGTTGCAAGTGGCGCGGTCAGCCACCAGCGAAAATCGATTTTGACCGCCTGTGATTACCCTTTTTCTAGTAGTGACTTATCAAATCAAATTGAATTTGTGATACAACTCTTAGCATATGTTTTCGTAGAAACAGTCATATTTTGTATGTAATAATTTTCTAGAATTATTTGGACTAATATATTGTCGACGTTGTAGATCCTGACTACGATGGTGCTGGGGTATACACGAGATCGAGGTAAAAAAGACAGAGACAAGGATTTTATACTGGTTCAGGCAAGAAGCCTTACATTCAGTTTATATGTAATTATGAGAATAGGTAGCAATTACAAAGGAGAACAACTGAGTCACGGAATACCGACGAACTCCCGTCAAGATCAGTCTGACGAGACCAATCGGTGATATGGCTGTGGGTCCTCCAGATTGCTTTGGCTATGGCGAGATCAAAGATAGCGCTAGATCCATCTTGTCGGCCTCCAATAGCACTAGACGGGGTCTGTTTAGGTTTATCTCTAATGTCGATATCTTGCGGCGAGTGTTGATCTCTCTATGTTCGCTCCCCTCTCTCCTCCTAAGGGGCTTTATATTTATACCCACAGATATCCCTTTGTCTAAGTAGGACTACGGAGACAAGTATGGATACGATCCGAATAGTTCATGTGGAACTCTGCTTCTCCCTCCTTATCCGAACTCCTTCTATATACGAGGTAAGGTTCCGTATAAAAAATGGTATATGGTGGGTCCCATCGAGCTTAATTGACTAGTATTGGGTATGTGTTCTCTATAACCCTGACATATATAACTTGTAACTTCTGTAGATACAATCATTTTTTTTAGACAACTAAAAAACCGACATACACCACTATAATTTTGATCTACTACAAGGGAATGGTCGGTGTATTTCCTTTTTCTATTAAAATGTTAATTTCAAAGCCTTAGAAAAAACACGGTGGTGGCTTTTTTTCAAGCTATTTTGATAATACAAATTAAATACTTTCCCTGCATGCATTTGTATGGAATTATAACTTGCAAAATACAGGTCATGCATGCAACTTTTTCAGTAAATTGTGCTTGTAACATCATTATTGTACCACGGTTGGATGGGACTCCAGAGGAGCAAAGCTCATGCCGTGTTGGCATTTGCAAAAAAAAAAAAAAAGAATAAGAAAAGAAAAGAAAAAGATCTCCTGGGAAGAACATATTCATAGTTTTGTTTCTGTTTACGTACAAAACATGAAGTCATCCAAAAAAACACGCCGGAACTAAGAATATCATTAAGAATATCCAAAAAAAGACTCAGTGAGAGCGATGCCAAGATGTGTGATTGTCCGTCTTCGCCATGTTTATTGTCTCACGTATGCAAAGTATAAACTGGTTACAAGTACCCGGTCCTTATTAGCTAAAGTATAAAAGAACATGGTAATTATTGCAATTTGCAAGCACCACATGCACAGCCTTGGGAGTCGGCAATCTATTCAGAACAAGACATCGATACAAATTAAGCTACCAAGTACGAACTGATCCTATTTAATTACCTATATATATCCTTTTCGCAAGCAAAATTAAGCACCACCCCGGTGGCTTCACCACTGACCATATAAGTTAAAATGAATCCTCATGAGGCCCCTTCATCACTACTCCCAACCTCCAATGACAGCTTTGGAAGTAGGGATGAAAACGGAGCGGATACGGACGGATAATGCTCATACCGTATTCGTTTTCATATTTTTTACTGGATACAGAAACGAATACGGATAGCTCGAATACGGAAACAAATACGGATTATCTCGAATACGAATAAGAATCGAATATGACCGGACACGAATACGGAAACAATTTTTTCTCGGAACACGAAAACCAAGTTAACTTCTAATAGAAACAAATATCAACTTATATAATTAGCTCACTTTATATTAAATGTAGTATAATTTATAAATATTTTTAAAAATTTAAATAATATTAATAGTGTGGACTAGTGTTAAGAGATAAACCACTATTAAAATCTAAAAATGTATATTGAAGGTCATAGAGTTATAAAGAAATGGGGTATGTCTCATGGCTTCTGCGGATATCCGAATAGCACTGTTCACTGGATATCCGAATTATTATCCGTATCTGACGGAAATCCCGATACCATATTCGTATACGTATCCGGCAAAAAATATCCGTATCAGAACTATCCGAGAATTATCCGATCTGAAAGGTATCCGTATTCGTTTTTCGCCGGAGCGGACGGAAACTATCCGCTCCGTTTTCATCCCTATTTGGAAGTTCCCAAATGACTGCATGGGACCACTTTACCTCGTTCTCTTAGAGCAAGTTTAATGGTATAGCTAACTATTGACTATTAGTCTATATTATAGCTAACTTGGAGTATAATAGATTAATTATAAGGTTGGCTCTATTTTTTATATTCTCTTTTTCTTTCCCTCACTATGAATTTAATGTAAATATCTTGGAACATGTGTATAGCTAGCTCTTGCATTAGAGCCAACACCCCTCATTTTTCTTTATCTCTCTCTTCCACGTAAACATTGGCATATAGCCCACTATTATCCTTGCTCTTAGTTGTACTAAATGGTTCAATTTTCGATTTGTTATACTAAAAGCAAGTTTAATAGTATAGCTAATTATTGGCTTTTAGTCTATACTATAGCTAACTTGTATAATAGATTAACTATAAGGTTAGCTCTATTTTTTTATTCTCTTTCTTTCTCTTATTCATAATGTAAATATTTTGGAACATGTGTATAGCTAGCTCTTGCATGAGAACCAACACCCCTCACTTTTCTTTATCTCTCTCTTCCACGTAAGATTATAGTTGACATATAGCTCACTATTATCCTTGCTCTAAATTGCATCCACACATCTCTCACTATGAATTTAATGTAAATATCTTGGGACATGTGTATAGCTAGCTTTTGCATGAGAGCCAACATCCCTCACTTTTCTTTATCTCTCTCTTTCACGTAAACTTATAGTTGGCATATAGCTCACTATTATCGATCCTTGCTCTTAGTTGTACTAATTGGTTCAATTTTCGAGTTGTTATACTAAATTGCATCAACGTATCGATCAAACCTGCAGTGAGCTATTGATGTAGATTATAGTTTTTTTATACAATTATTAGTGTGCGGTATTTTCTCTCTCTAACCTTTTAGTCCATGAAATACTTTTTTTCAATCGCAGACTCAACTTTTCATAACTAAGATCCAGACTAGACTAGCTAGCATCATCAACAGCGCGGTGAGTTTACTAGCCATTATGCATCTGAAAAAATAACCACTAGCGGCAGGAGGGAGGCAAGCCTAGAGTAGTTAGGGCTTGAGCTCTAGGCTTCTCCAAAATTATAAGTAAATTACCATGTAATTTTAGAGAAAATAAATAATTCATTAGTTGAGTCCTAGCTAGGTTAGTCCTAGTGTTTAGTAATTATTTCTGGTTTTGCCACTAACCACCAGGCTTTAGTAAATATTGTAGACGTTGTGAGCTGTATAGCTGTCGTGACGTTAATTCTGTGGGTCAAAATTCACT